ATCTGTGTCCTGTTTCTTTGTCTCCGCATTTTTTATGCTTTCTTGGTGCAACCCCTAGTGGTCTTTGTGCGCAGTCTTGTTGTAGTTAAGCCTTGATTGTTGTAGGTAATACTAGGGGGGATTTGACCTCCAGGCCAAGTGGCTGTGAGAATCAGCTGTGTCTGCAGTGAGAGAACTTCTGTCCTCTAAGGGAGGTGCTAATCTAGCCTTTGCCTGAGGCTATCTGGCAAATGGCTCTGCGCAGGGCTTGGGCGGGGCGGGTCGCATAGGATCAACAGGGTGGGCCAGAGAGAGCAGTTATGGCTGCTCTCAGTCCTGTCCCCAGGGGCTCTGCCTCTCTGAGTCCCAGCAACCGCTGCAAACCTCGGAGAGAAAGCTGCCTTCAAGTTCCGACCGAAGCCAGACAGTCCTGCTTCTCCCGTTTGAGTCTGGGTCCCTAACGACTCGCCGGATCTGGAGCTCAGAGTCTTCGAGTCCCTCCCGATTGAAAACGCCAAACACGCCCTCAGCCACCAGCCCGCTCTGCATGCACTCCGCACCTTAGCATTTGACTTCAGCACTGCGTCTCCTCTGAGTCTCGGTATGCGTTTCTCTTTCCTCTTAGTTGTAGGACTTCCACTCAGCCAGCACTCCTGTGGTTCTGGGTGATGTCCGTTCCGTCTTTTAGTTGTATTTTTGAAGTGGTTGTTCGAGGCAGCAAACTCCTGCGTTAACCTATGCCGCCATCTTGGTTCTCTCAATATACTGTTTTTTTAAAAAAATATATTTTTACTGATTTCAGAGGGGAAGGAAGGGGGAAAGAGAGATAGAAACATCAATGAGAGAGAATCAGTGATCAGCTGCCTCCTGCACGCCCCCCACTGGGAATCTAACTTGGGACCCTTCAGTCCGCAGGCCTGCGCTCTATCCACCAAGCCAAACCGGCTAGGGCTATGCTGTTTCTTTTTATATGCCAGGTGGCCAAGTTTTATGGAGAAAAATAAGAGGAAGGGGATAGGGAATTTGGGGGCAATGGAGGGTAGCCTGAGACTTTTTATTGAGAAGGTGATATATAAGAATGAAGTGAAGGAGCAATGCAGATATCTACACGAGGTACATTCCTAGCAAGGGGACAGCAATTGCAAAGGCTCAAGGCAGGAGCAGGCTTTCTTTGATCAAGAGAGGAGACTAGAGTGGCTGCAATGAAGTATATGAGAGAAAGAGGGTAAGAGGCTCATCTGGGTCAGTGAAATAGCTGGAATCTGGATTACATGGGGCTCTATGTCATTGTAAGAATTTAGGTTTTTACTCTTGAGTAAAACAGGAAGCTACTGAAATGTTTTTAATCCAAGGAATGACATAATCTGATTTACACTTAAAATGATTACTCACGGAGAATGAACCAAAAAGGATAAAGGGATGGGGGAAGCAGGGAGACCATGAGATCACTGCAGTAATCCTGGCAAGGGGGAAGTGTGATTTGAATTAGGGTGGTGGTGGTGGAGGTGATGAGAACTGATTAGATAAGATTCTAGATATTCTCTGAAGGCAGAGTTGACAGGATTAGCTAATGTTAGATACATAAAAAAATAAAGGCAAGATGACACTAAGATTTTGGGCTTAAGCAACTAGAAGTATGAAGTTGCTATTTTTTAACACGAAGGACTGCGCGAGGAGCAGGTTTGGTGAAACCACTATGAGTTCTGTTTTAGACCTTAATACTTGAGATGACTATTACATACCCAAGTGGAAATGTCAAGTGTCCATTAGACATTTGGTTCTGAAGTTCAGGATAGAGTACAAATGTAGAAATATAAAGGTGGAAATTACTGATGTACAGATGACATTTAGAGCCCTGAGACTAAGTAAGTGCACATACAGAGTGAGTGAAATTAAGGAAAATGTCTGTAAAAAATAATATAAACAAAGCCACTTTATAATTCTTTTTTTAAAATATTTTTTTTATTGATTTTTTAATAGAAAGTAAGAGAGAGGGAGAGTTAGAAACATCGATCAGCCGCCTCCTGCACAACCCCTACTGGCGATGTGCCCACAACCAAGGTACACGCCCTTGACCTGAATCGAACCTGGGACCCTTCAGTCCGCAGGCCGATGCTCTATCCAATGAGCCAAACCGGTTACAGCTACAAAGCCACTTCAAAATGGAATGGAAGTTGCCATCCCAAAGGAATTGCCTTGTATTCTTACTCCTCAAACCTTTGGAATGTTAAAACTGGGTAAACAACCTTTGGACTGGGCCTAAAGCAATACTGTATCTCAAACAACTGTTTGCAAAGATAATAGGAAAGCAGATATAATGATTATTGAATTGAAAATTAAAAACAGTCTTTAGAATTAGCATCACTGTATTAGTTTATCTGCACTTATAGAAATGCCTTCCTTGTAATTTTCCCTTTCCCTTTCTTTTGAAAACATTCTTTGCCTTTGTCTCCTAATCTGAACACTGATTCGGGGCCAGGGTGCTTAAATTTGGTTGAAGAATAGGGTGATGAAAAGATAAAAAAGGAGTCTGAAAAGGAGAAACCACTGGGATAAAAGGAAAAATAAGAGACTTGGGCTTCACTGGAAGCCCAAAGAAGAAAGTATACCAAGAAGGAAGGCGAGAACAGTAGCCAAATAAAAAATGAGAACTGTCCACTTGGCATTATAGAGATCATTAGAAGTCTTGACAAAAGCTGATTTTCTGGAGTGGAGGAAACAAAAGCTTGGGTGGAGTGGGGTTCAGGAGAGAATGGAAGTGGAGACAGAAGAGCCATCCCTTTCAAGGAGCTGTGCTGAAAAGAACAGGAAAACAGAGGTAGCAGTTTTCCTGGCAGAGTTCTTTGTTTTGAATGTGGGAGAAATTCCGGCATGTTTTATAGTAATGGGAATAATCCATAGAGAGAAATTGATATGACAGGAACACAAGAGACAACTGCTGGAGCAATGATCTGGAGTAGGAGAGAGGGGATGGGAACTAGCACTCAAGTGTTGGGGACTGAATTACAGAAGATCACAGATAGCTTATCTCTGGGGAAGGCAGAATACATAGTTATAGAAATGATTCCCAGGATTCCAGGGTGACGTGATTTGGTGCCATTCATATATACTTTTATTTTTACAACCACCCTGTGGGTTAAAGTTTATTGTATTTCCCACATTATACAGAAGAGAAGCTAGAATGCCTGAGAGGTTATGAGATTCACCCAAGGCCACGGTGCTAGTAAAATCTGAGATGGGATAAAATCCCAAGTGTTCTATTTTACTGCCCATGGAAGTTTCTATCAGAGTAAATTGGTTCCCTGTGGTTACTGCCATTAAGAATAAACAATAAATCCCAGAGTAGAAAGGGGGCAACTGAAAGAGTTGGGGGTTAATGAGAGAAGGAAACTAGAACCTCTGTAAGTGCTTTGCCACAGAAGACAGTGGTTTTGTGGTAATAGTTTCTTCTAAGAATTATTAGAGAAGGTACCAGATGTGTTAGAAATCGAGATAGTGGAGGTGGTAGGGAGCCTAAGAGAACATCTCAGAATTCAGAGGAAAAATACACAGAAGAATGAATTCTGAAAATAAAGATCAGAGATATGGAAGAGAGAAATACAGAAGACCTAAAATAGAATAAAAGTGATTAATAGAATAGCTGGAGAAATAATGAATAAAATATTTTCTGGAGGAAATGAAATACTTGAATCTTTAAATTAAAAAGAATTCTTGAGCGCTTATAAAAATTCATAAAGAGCCACATCTAGATGCATCCTGATAATAATTCTGAAATTGTACTTACCAGTAGGCTATTCATTAATCTTAACTGCCCATGGACTATTTAGAACTCACCAAGCATGTTCCCTTGGAAGCTTTGTATGCTCTTTCTGGAATGCTCTTCCACCAGACAGCCATAGAGCTCACTTTCCCTCTTCAAGAAGGTTTCTGCTTAAACTTCACCTCTGTAATCAAACTATTAAAATATTACCCATTGTCATTCTCTCTAGCCGTCCCTGCTTTATTTCTTTTATAGCTCTCAGTGCTACTAAATGTTGTACTATACATTTGCTTGTCAATTATTTGACTCTTCCACTAAACTTAAACGCACGGATCTTGTTGGTTTGGTTCATTATTAATTCTTCAAGACAAAATATTGCCCTAACCGGTTTGGCTCAGTGGATAGAGTGTTGGCCTGCGGACTGAAAGGTCCCAGGTGCGATCCTGGTCAAGGGCATGTACCTTGGTTGTGGGCACATCCCCAGTAGGAGGTATGCAGGAGGAAGCTGATTGATGATTCTCTCCCATCAATGTTTCTAACTCTCTATCCCTCTCCCTTCCTCTCTGTAAAAAATCAGTAAAATATATTTAAAAAAAAAGACAAAATACTGCATGGGAGGCACTAAGCACTGCAATGAATACACAAGATGACAATGAAAACCTTAAACACTGATCAAAGTAGAAATTTCTCAGTCTATCTTTTGTCAGCCAAAAAGAAGTTCTAGTTTCACAAAATATTTACTGTACAAAATTAAATACTGTAAAAATATTTCAGATAAATATATTTTATGAACACATGACATAAAGGCAGAAAAAGAAAAAAGAAAAAACGTATTCTTGAGAATATTAAAAAGTTCTACCCCCAAATATTAAATTCAAAATGAAAAGGCAAATGGAAAAAACAAAAACCCTTCATAGTGCTTTTAAAATTAAATTTTCAGAAAAAAAGCCATAATTTTAGGTAAATGAGCAATGGTTATGCATGGGCAATTCACTAAATAAAATGGCTCAACCTATCAAAAGTTTTTAAACTTTAGTAATGAAGGGAGTCATTAAAGTAACAAGAAAATATCCTATCTAATAAAAGAGAAACATGGTAATTAGCATACGTCTGCTACCCTTCCCATTGGCTAAGTAGGGCAATATGCAAATTAACTGCCAGCCAAGATGGTGGCCGGCAGCCAGGCGGCTTGAAACTAACATGAGGCTTGCTTGCTTCAGTGACGGAGGAAACCAATGTTCCCCACCTGCCTTGCCGGCCTCTGAGCTTGCAGTTTGAAACATAGTTACAAATATAGAAGCTAAACAAAACCCCAGAAACCTGCTTTCAGCGAGCCGGGATCTCAGAGCTGGAGTTGATACAGTGTTTCAATTATAAAACACAAACAAACCAGATACCTGCTTTCAGCAGCAGAGGCCTCAGAGCTGGAGTCAGAGCTAAAGCTGGCCCAGAATTAAAAAAAAAAGAAAAAAAGGAGCAGTTGGGAGCTTCAGTCACCCACCAGCCTGAAAACAGCCCTCAGCCCCTCACCCAGACTGGCCAGGCAGCCCAGTGCGGACTCCCACCCTGAAGGGTGTGTGATCACCTGCAAACAGCCATCATCCCCTCATCCAGGCTGGCCAGGCCCCCCAGTGGGGACCGCCACCCTGTTCCAGGACACCCTTCAGGGCAAACCAGCCGGCCCCCACCCATGCACCAGGCCTCTATCCTATATGGTAAAAGGGTAATATGCCTCCCAGCACTAGGATCAGCAGAGCCGCGAGGCCTCCTGGCACTGGGATCAGCGTGACTGGGGGCAGTGCCCAAACCCCTGATTGTCCTGCAGCTCTGTGTGTGACAAGGGGCGGGGCCACAACCTCCCTATCTGCCCTGCTCTGTTTGTGACAGGGGAAGGCGCCCCAACCTCCTGATCAGCCCTGCTCTGTGCCTGATACGGGGGAGCTCCCCATCCCCCTTATCGCCCAGTGGCTCTGTGTGTGACAGCGTGCGGCGCCCCAACCCCCTGATCCACCCTGCTCTGTGTGTGACAGGGGGGGGTGCCCCAACTCCCCTATCGGCCCTCCTCTGTGAGTGACAGGGGGGAGCTCCCCAACCCCGATTGACCCTGCTCTGTGCATGACAGGGTATGGAGGCCCAACCCCCCTGATGGGCCCTGCTCTGTGCGTGACAGGGGGTGGTGCCACAACCTCCCCATCGACCCTGCCTTGAGTGTGACGGGGGCAGCGCCCCAACCCCCAAATCGGCCCTGCTCTGAGCGTGACCAAGGGCTGCACCTAGGAATTGGGCCTGCCCTCTGTCACCCGGGAGCAGGCCTAAGCCTGCAGGTTGTTATCTCCCGAGGGGTCCCAGACTGCCAGAGGGCACAGGCGGGCTGAGGGACCCCCTTCCCCCCCGAGTGCACACATTTTTGTGCACCAGGCCTCTAGTAATTTTATAATTATCAATTTGACAAAAATTTAAAAGATTGCTGATGGGGGGTGGGTAGAGGTGGAAGAGGGCATAGAGTGGATAAATGATGATGGAAAAAAACTCAAAAAAATTGGTGACACTCCACAATAGCATATCTTAAGAAAATGGACACACATGCTATAGCTAGTGTAAACTTCCCACAAGGCAATGTGAGCAGAAATTAAACCACTTATGTGCTCTAATGAAGCATTCCATATGAGACTCTATCTAAAAATGTATGTAGGGTTCCCTAACCGGTTTGGCTCAGTGGATAGAGTGTTGGCTTGCGGAATGAAAGGTCCCAGGTTCGATTCCGGTCAAGGGCATGTACCTGGGTTGTGGGCACATCCCCAGTAGGAGGATCGATGTTTCTCTCTCATCGATGTTTCTAACTCTCTATCCTTCTCCCTTCCTCTCTGTAAAAAAATCAATAAAATATATTAAAAAAGAAAAGATTGGAAGTCCAAAAAGATGAGATTAAAAAAAATGTATGTAGGGTACATGATGAATATCCTGTTAAAAATGGAAACAACTTGGAGAGAGCTTTAATGTCCTACAAAAGAGGACTGATTAGCCCTGGCCAGTGTGGCTCGGTTGGAGCATCATCCCATGTACCTAAAGGTTGTGGGTTCGATTTCTGGTCAGGGCACAGGTTTGATCCCCAGTCAGGGCATGTACAAAAAGCAACCGATCGATGTTCTCTCTCACGTTGATATTCTCTCTCTTTCTCAATGATACATATCTTTGCTCATGTTAAGATGTTAATCAATGTTGGGTAAATAAGGTAGGTAATAAAACTTTCACATACTCACAACTGTAAACCTACTTTTGCCCCACCCTGTATGTGTAATGAAACCTTATTTTTATAGAAAAAATATACATATGTATATATACGCATATGTGTATGCATCAAAGATGGACTGAAAGGCTTTTCAATCAAATTTTCACAACATTTGTCTCTAAGTGTATAATTATGGGGGATCTTTGTGTGTTTTTTTCTGTGTTTTCTTTCTTTTTTCTTAAATCCTCAGCCGAGGATAGGTTTATTGATTTTAGAATGAGGAAGGGGGTGGGGAAAAGAGAGAGAGAGAGAGAAGAGAAAAAGAGAGAGAGAGGAGAAACATCGATCTGCTGCCTCCTGCATGGCCACTACTGGGGATCGAGCCGGAAACCTGGACATGTGCCCTGACCAGGCCAACGCACAACCACTGAGCAACACTGGCCGGGCATGTCTGGGTCGGGCATGTTTTATCGTTAAAGATTCCTTTGGGCCGAAACCGGTTTGGCTCAGTGGATAGAGCGTCGGCTTGCGGAATGAAAGGTCCCAGGTTCGATTCTGGTCAAGGGCATGTACCTGGGTTGCGGGCACATCCCCAGTAGGAGGTGTGCAGGAGGCAGCTGATCGATGTTTCTCTCTCATTGATGTTTCTAACTATCTCTCTCCCTTCTTCTCTGTAAAAAATCAATAAAATATATTTTTTAAAAAAGATTCCTTTGGTTACCTCTGGGTTGTGATCTTCAATTTACTTAAGTGCATATTTTTTCAATAACCATGTATTAATTTTTAAATGTGTATTTTCTCATTAAAAATTTTTAAAAATGTTTTTATTGATTTTAGAGAGAGAAGAAGGGAGAGGGAGAGAGAGAAACACGAATCAGCTACCTCCTGCACAGCCCTTACTGGAGATTGAGCCCATAATCCGGGCATATGCTCTGACCAGGAATCGAAACAGTGACCTACTGGTACATGGGTCTCTGAGCCACACCGGCCAGAACTAAATGTGTATTTTTAAATTCTGTAAATGTAAGCTTATTCCCAAATAGCAGAGGAACAAGAAAATACTTTTTTAAAAAAAACAAGCTCAGGCTATTCTAAAAAACAGTTGTATTTTTGCTTGGTTAGTTTCCAATAATTGAAAACTTCTTGATTTCGTAACTATAGTCATGTGTACTAAAGTCTCACCTGGAAAAGAACTAAAAGTCACATGGATATGTCCTCTGTATAAATGATGCTTCCTTACAGCCCTTCTTGACGGATGGGTTTGTTATGTTTCTGCACCTGTCCTGTTTCCTGCAATGTTCTCCAAACAGCTACAGAATCATCATGCTCCATCCACTGGTCATACTTTGGATTTCTGATAATGCAAATGAAAACTGCAGGGAATATAGCAATTCAAGGAAATGAATGTATTTCCACAAAATTCTTATGGGGTCAGTCAACTTAGTTATAGTATGACATGAAAACAGCTACTCTGGTTATACAAATATCTCCCTCTTATTAAATCTCACAGCATACTACCAGGCTAAGCTAGTGCTATTTATCAAACTTTACTTTGGATATTTGTATGCAAGTTTATACAAATCTCCCTTATAAAATCATTTGCAATTTTAAAATAGTGACTGTAACTTTTTAGAAGTATTTTTTTCTCCCTGAATTCTAGTAGATTCTGCATATTTGCAAATTCTTAATAAATACCTAATGCTTAGCCCTAGCTGGTTTGGCTCAGTGGATAAAGCGTCGGCCTGCAAACTGAAAGGTCCCAGGTTCGATTCCGGTCAAGGGCACATGCCCGGGTTGTGGGCTTGATCCCCTGTGGTAGACTTGCAGGAGGCAGCCAATCCATGATTCTCTCTCATCATGGATGTTTCTATCTCTCCCTCTTCCTTCCTCTGTGAAATCAATAAAACTATATTTAAAAAAAATATCTAATGCCTAACCCCAAGAAATTCATTATAAAAACACAAGAAGTTGTATGCACAGGAATATTTTTTGGGACTATTTCACAATTAAAATATCCTATATAATAAAGAGGGAATATGCAAATTGACCATCACTCCGCCACAAAGATGGTGGTGTCCACAGCAGAGGCGGGGGTTTCTGTAACACAAGATGACTGCACCCACAGCGGAG